AAATGTCTGCTAATTTTTAGCTGTTAAAGGATTATATGTTATGACTGGACAATCTAAATTTGATTTCATGGTTGTCCATGCCTGCATATAGATATACATGAAGCATTTATGAAGAGAAATCATTCACGGTGCATGTGGACAAATGTGTTAACATAAGAGAGTAAAGACTAACCAAATAAAACTATAGTTATGAATCAAGAAAAGTCAAATGAAACCGTATTGGCCATCCCCCTGGATACACCAATTACATGTAAAACGTGTGATTAGTGAGAGGAACATCTTCATCTTGTGACTCCGCCCACAATTTCCATTGAGAGACTAATCTGATGCCAGAAATGGTGGCCATCTTGACTTGTTTCATGTATCCATATTCTGCACGCATTTAACGTTGTGGTGTAATTACCGAATCTCACGTCTCAATGCAAGATTTTCTGTTCTCATCTTCTATAGTTCAGCTTCCTATTTAAAGCAAATGCGTTGATATTCTTTCATGACATCAAAGTTTGCATCCTTTATGTTGATGCATTGGCGTGAATTCAGATATTGGATGGCCACTCTGACATCCTATTCAACCGATGCATTAGACGTATCAGTTATATCCTCATAGAAGGTTCTCACTTTGCCCCAAGCGGTCACAGTGACGACCACATAAAATGTTTCGTCCATCGTATTTACAATCCATCTTGGGCATAGGAGGTGGTAGGCAATGGAAGTTTGCCTGAGAATATCCAATAAAGATATTTCGACCTCAAAGGGATCCTCCATTCGAAACAACTAAACAAAAGAAGAGAAAAGTGAGAGTGGAAATATTTGCAAGACAATTATGTACTATTTTGATAATCTACGCCGCCATGAATATTAGACCATTGGAAAGGTTGAATAGAAAAGCATAATATACATAACCTGCACAAGGATTACTTGTATTAGAGTTCAACGCCTAGACAACTTCGACCTTAGATGTCGTTATTGGACCAAGCTTCGACACAAAAAGAAACAGTTCTATAGCTACATGGGGTTTAAGCCTTTAAGGAGCAATTGGTTAATAATAGAAATGGCATAGTGCGCTCATGAAGATGCACGCCAGTCCAAGAAGCCCACCATAGAATCCAGTTTAGGGGATATGCTCACTCATGATTCAGTTATTAACTCATCCTTGTAAGAGACCAACTTTTGAGTGCAACCACACACTGGTGAGATAAATTGGGATCAATCCTATTGTTTGAAATCAGTCGTGAACATAGTCTACTACTTTCTTTACCCCAGTGTGTGTGGATACCAATTTAGCTAGATAGATCAACATCATCCTGCATGCATTGCTTGACAAGGTGACATTGTCAACCCCTGTCTATTACCATGTATAACAATACAAAATACATTGGATCCAGATATTAAAACTTGTTCAAACATAAGGTTCACCAAAGATAGCTATTACATGACCACTCACTTCTAGCTCTTAAGTATGTACGAAAATAGAAATACAACAACACATGAGATAATTATACACTTATATGTCTTCATCCCTTCCAACAGTATTTCTTGAGATGCCACAATAGACCCCATTTGTCTATGACAATCAAACACCCCACTCTCCAGCTCAAGAAGGCGGTTGCCAATATTCCTCCAAGTGTCACCGGCGAAGTAGCTTCATCATCTGGTCCAATGGGAGTTGCCCAACGAAAATAGTTGCAACGACCTTCCATGTGTGCCTCTGTGTGAGGATGGTTCGACTGCCTAAGAAATGCCAAGTTGCCCTGTTCACATCGGGAGCAAAAAAGGTCAATAGACTCAATACGAGTGTTAAACCTTCAAATATCCATCAAATATATTTGGTAATATTATTATTTACCTCAAGATTTCCAGGGCAAGTGTAGAAAATCCTATTGGGATTACATGGAGTTTCGGAGGCCCGGATAATACATTTCCTCCGGTACTTACAATACTTAATCTCATACTTAAGATAGTTGTGGGAGGAGAAACCTCATATTGACTGCGAACTCATGACTCTCCAACAAGAAACGTATTACTAGGCTGGTAGACATATACAAATAATAAAAAAACAAACCTTTCGTCACCATGTAGGCTATAATACATTATCAAACAAAGGAATACAAAAGAACAAAAAACAAAAAGTTCAACTTCTTTCATACAAAACAAAAGGAAACAACCATTCTAATTCTTCCAACAACATGCGAGGATAACCAAGGGGCTAGAACAGCCGATTACTTGTTAGAGACATTGCTAAAATCGCCGGAGATCGGAAGAACTGAATAAGGACGTTCGTTCAATCGGAGGCTAGAATGAAAGTGAATAGGGAGGAGAGAGAAAAATTAAAGATTTACATTTACCGCAAGAGGTTAGTTGAGGGTATTTTGTAACAAGGGCAAAAGTCATAAGGTAAAAGGGGCATTTTGGGTATTTCAAAATAATGTTACAAGATTAGGATGACGTGGATGTGAGATGGTCGAGTAAATGGAGATTTAGAATTTAAAAGAAAAAAATGCATATTTTTTAAATGAATACAGTGGTTTTGGAGGTAAATTTCTTAAACTATCCTTATGGTTTAGTTAATTGACTGAGTGTACTATTACTGTTTGAAAATTGACTAATACTACTCTTATCATTTCTAACAATTGACTAATTCTTCTTAAGCCTTAACGTTCGTCAATAAAGATATGAAAAAGACTATTTTAACCTCCACTATAGATTACCCAGATCTCTCCCTCTCTCTTTCATTTTTTTCGCCGAAACTATCGGAACGACGGATAATGGCCGGATTTGAGTTCCTTGCAGATCTGAGAGATACTCAGATATTGGTTGACCTCATATGCAGCAAAAAGCCCTAGGGCTTTGGTCTAATTCAAAGTAACAACAAACTGGGCATTGTTCTTGAAGGCTTCACAAAGACATTAGTCCACTACAACACTATCCCCGTGGAATTGTCCAAGCAGTGATGCCTCCAGTCCTTGTACGCATCCTCTTAACTATCGTAACTAGTAGAACGAAGGCCAAAGGAAAAATTGAAGCTCCCCAACCTCTTAACTACCGTAACCAGTGGAACATTCAGAGTGTCAACCTCTGAATTTGCGGCCAATTCCGGAGAAGAGAACAAGAGGGGCGTCGACCTCTGTAGTTGCAGCGATTCTAGAGAAGAAAACGAGAGGGGCGCCGACCTCTGCGATTCTGGAGAAGAGTGGCGGTTCCAGAGAAGACAATATATTGCTAGACTTGATGTCACGGTGCAGCACCACCTAGTCCCACCCATGATGCAGGTAGTTCAAGCCCTCTACTACATGGACGAGCACCCTTCGCCGTCCTTCCCACCCGAACAATTAGTTCGGCTTGTCAAAGATCCAACTGTTGAGGCTACCATTAGGCATGTAATCGTAAACCAACATCAACTCATTGCCTTTCCTGCACCACCCTCTCATGTGGACTAAGTTCTTGTGTTGCAGCCTACCCATGCTTGAGATCTCGACCATGAATTCTCTCAATCCCTGCTTGGAATCATGGTTGACGCATTTGACTGCAACCTCTGTGTTATTGGGTAGAGTTCCTTTGTATACTTTGCCAAAATCACCGAACCCTATAAGATTTTCTTTTGAAAATTAATTTGTTACTTTGTTAAGCTCTTGGAAGGAGAACCGGTGGGGCCAGTACTCAAGCTCCCATTCTTCAATGTTGTCCTCCTCTTCGCTTTTCCTCTTCCTTCGCCAAAACCAATAAGAACTAGAAAAGATTAAAATTATAACAGCGAAAAAAGAAACAACAATTCCTAATATAGCTCCCACAAAATATGAAGACTGCGAATGTGGAAGACGTGGTGTACAACTTGGCAATTTCGTTGTGTTTATGTCAGGAAAAGAGTCACCATTATTACTAAAGCTCCAAGCTAAAATCCTCGGTGCTTCTCTTGAAGTGTCCTTTGATACAGAAAACCCAACAAACATCTTGTTGGATATGTATTCATCTATTTCATTGGCATAATAATTGAACAGAGTTTTAGATGATTGAGAAACACTTGTAGGAGCAAAATGTTACATAATGTTAGCATCCGACCTCTATAGCTCCGGCGGTTCCGGTGATTCCGAAGAAGAGAATGAGAGGAAAAAGGAAAAGGGGGAAGGTCGTAACTGCGATTCCCCTATAACATTCAACCTCTACAGTTATGACAATTCTTGAGAAGAGAATGAGAGCAAATGGAAGACATCAAAGATTTATAGTGAAAGAGGGGGAGGTTGGAGGTGGAGGGTAAAATGAAAGAGGGCGAGGTCGGTGGTGGAGGGTAAAATTGGATTTTTAAAAAATTACATATCATGTACTTATGAGTTTTGACGGAATATTAACATAATCTAATGGTAATAATAGAGTTAGTCAATTATGAGAAACACTAAAAGTAGTGTTGGTCAATTTTCAAAAAGTAAAGATACACTTAATTAATTAACTACTATAAGGACAGAAATTTACTCTAAATTTTTATACCCAATCTTAGCGGTAAATTTGCCTATGAAAGAGAAAAACCTATTATTTTTGTCAACTAGTTTTATCCTAATTGATTCGCTATATTAGAGCCTAAAAAATTTCCCTATTTTAAGGAAAATAGCATTTGGAGAGTCATCTCTTTTTCACTCGGTTCCCAATCCCCTGGGTTTCACTATAATTTCCTTTTTGAAATTCATTGATTTGAATTAATAGATTTTTCTTTTTTCCATTGTATTTCCAAAGACAAATTTGTTTCATTTTTCGATTTTCAAAATTTCCCTCTAGTTTTTTAATCAATTGCATTCCCTTTTGATCTGTTGTCCATTCTATTCCAAGCATTTTTGCCAATATCATATTGAGATCATCACATTTATTACTCCACATAACTTGAAATTTAAATGGACTAATTCAGACTTGAGACCTTGAGACCGGAGGGAATGTTTAGGTTGTTGGCATGACCTAAGCCAGAGGCTTCATTTAATTGGATTCTCTCGGGCCGAACGCTGCAGCGATGTTGGTTGTTCAACGAGACAGAGACACGGTAGCAAAACAACCGGACATCCTCGTTTATGTCGCTTTAATTAATTAATAGAAATACAATTTAAATATTAAATTGCAAATTTAAAAGCAACACAGCAGAAATAGAAAGTAAAGTTAGCGAAAAGAGAATAGTGGAAACTAGTTTATGCTTAATAAAATCTCTTGTTTCTCTCTCCATGGTCTAGAGGACCAGTAGTTGAACGAGAGATTTTTCTTCATTCGGCGGTTTTTCCTCTTCGTGTTTCTCAACGTTCTCTCTTGGAAGACAGGGTCGTTGTCTGTTGCCTTTATCTTCATCTGTAAGTACTCAAAGAAACCGATAGAAGAAACCCTTGTTTCTCATTTTTTTGTTTCAATTTTCTTTTTTTTTTCCCGATTTATTGCTCTCTTGGGTATTAACAACTCAAAATTTCTTTGCCTACTAGTGGGTGGGTTTTATGAAAAGAAAATTCATATTTTTCATCGCATATTTCATGATTTATGGGCATCATTCTGTTCAAGTATCTCTCTTCTTTCCATTTTATCTCAAACTAGTTTTAGCTAATGATTTGGATATTAATTTTTTATTTCTCTTTTGGGAGGAGGAGGGCTGGTTCTAGCACGATTTTCTTTCCTCTGTTTATTTGGTTGTTTCGAAGAATCTATTTTTGCTAATAGATCTTTTCAAAAACAGTTTTCCCCCACCTGCAGCCGTAAGAAAAAAACTGTTCTCTTTTCATCATGAGTTGTTTCATGGTAATCATGTTTGAAGATGCCTCATTGAACTTGAAGAGGGATTCCTCAAGAAGGTTTTATTTTTGATGGGTATCAAGAAGCTAATTTATTGAATTGTTTTGAATTCTTAATTTACTTATGTTTCATATCTTACATTTTGTTTTTGTGTTTTTTACATGAACCTTGATCAGAACCATGCAAGCAAAAGCCAAGAGGAGAGTCGTTAATGAGAATGGGGATGGTGGAGAAGACTTGGTCCTTGCCACTTCAATTGTGAAAGGGGAGGATTTGGGTCCAATTGTTAGGCATGCATTTGAAATGGGAAGACCTGAGGCCCTGTTGTATCAACTTAAGAATGTTGTAAAGAAGAAGGAAGTTGAAATCGAGGAACTCTGCAAGCTCCACTACGAGGAATTTATTCTTGCTGTTGATGAACTCCGAGGAGTCTTGGTTGATGCTGAAGAGCTGAAAAGTGAACTCTCAAGTGATAATTTTCGTCTCCAGGAGGTTGGGAGTTCCCTATTGTTGAAACTTGAGGATCTCCTTGAGTCATACTCAATCAGGAAGAACATTAATGAGGCTATAAAAATGTCAAAGATCTGCATTCAAGCCCTTGACCTCTGTCTAAAGTGTAACGACCATGTAAAGGAAGGTCGATTTTACCCTGCTCTTAAGACTCTTGATCAAATAGAGAGAAATTTCTTGCAGAATGTCCCTGTAAAGGCCCTGCAAAAGGTAATTGAAAAGAGAATACCATCAATAAAGTCACATATTGAGAAGAAAGTATGTAGTGAGTTCAATGAATGGCTGGTTAACATAAGGAACAAGGCTAGGGAAATTGGCCAGATAGCCATAGGACAAGCTGCATCAGCTCGTCAAAGGGATGAAGAGATGAGGAATCGTCAGAGGGAAGCCGAGGAGCAGAGCAATTCAGGATTAGGTGATTATGTATACACTCTAGATGTCGAGGAAGTTGATGAAGGTTCAGTTTTGAAGTTTGATCTCACACCTGTCTATCGTGCATATCACATCCATACTTGTCTTGGGATCCAAGAAAAGTTCCGTGAGTATTACTATAAGAATCGATTGTTACAGCTTAATTCGGACTTACAAATATCCTCAGTACAGCCATTTCTTGAATCCCATCAGACATTTTTTGCTCAAATTGCAGGGCACTTCATAGTGGAGGATCGAGTCCTACGGACTGCTGTGGGGATTTTGTCTACTAATCAAATGGAGACAATGTGGAAAATGACTGTTGTAAAGATGACATCAGTGTTGGAGGAACAATTTTCCTGTATGGATGTTGCAAGCCATTTACTTCTGATTAAGGACAATGTCACTCTTCTTGGTGCAACACTTAGACAATATGGGTACCAAGTAGGTCCCTTGCTGGAGTTTCTTGATACTAGCAAAGATAGATACCATGAACTCCTATTAGAGGAGTGCTGTCGTCAAATGACTGATGCTTTTGCAAATGAAACTTATGAGAAGATGGTAATAAAGAAAGAACTTGAGTACAACAAGAATGTTTTGGCATTACATCTCCAAACATCAGATATAATGCCAGCTTTCCCCTATATTGCTCCTTTCTCCTCCAGTGTTCCTGATGTTTGCCGCATTGTTCGAACATTCATTGAGGACTCTGTCAATTATTTGTCTTATGGGGGGCGCATGAACTTCTATGATGTTGTGAAGAAATACCTCGACAAACTCTTGATAGAAGTGTTGAATGAAGCTCTACTGAAAGTTATTCATAGTTCCACAACTGGTGTTTCTCAAGCCATGCAGATTGCTGCCAACATAACTGTTCTTGAGCAAACTTGCGATCTCTTTGTGCAACAGGCAGCTCAACACTGTGGGATCCCTGTGCAATCCATTGAGAGGCCTCATGCAAGTTTATCTGCCAAGGGGGTTCTAAAGACATCACAGGATACTGCATATAATGCTTTAATGAACCTTATTAACTTTGCATTGGATGAGTTTATGGCACTAACCCAAAATATCAATTGGACAGCAGAGGAGATACCACAAGATGGAAATGACTATGTACATGAAGTGGTGATATACCTTGACACTGTGATGTCCACAGCTCAGAAGATCTTACCTTTGGATGCGTTATTTAAAGTTGGTAGTGCTGCCCTTAAACACATCTCCAACTCAATTGTGACAGCTCTCCTAAGTGATAGCGTGAAAAGGTTCAATGTGAATGCGATCATGAGCCTTGACAATGATCTAAAGATATTAGAAAATTTTGCAGATGGGAGGTTTCACAGCATGGGCCTGAGTAAGGAGAATAGTTTAAGAGATTGCTTGATTGAAGCTCGACAATTGATTAACCTATTATTAAGCAGCCAACCAGAGAACTTCATGAATCCAGTGATAAGGGAGAAAAACTACAATTCACTGGACTATAAAAAGGTTGCTAGTATCTGTGAAAAGTATAAGGATTCACCTGATAGGCTGTTTGGAAGCCTTTCAAGCCGGAATTCAAAGCAAAATGCCCGGAAGAAGTCAATGGATGTGCTAAAAAGAAGACTAAGGGATTTCAATTGAGAAAGCTTGAAGTGTGCTTTTTGATTCTTACTCCTATTTCTGTTTCTTTATTTGCATCCTTCACTGTAATTTACAGTGACATGGGCAAGGACTGGTATTTATTGGAAACATGGGCATGGTACTGGTATTTATTGCAGACTTATGATTTTGAAATTCCTAGTGTTTTATAGATATCTTTTTGGATTATTAAATTGAAGAATGATGATATTTATTTGGAGGAAAACGATATTGTGAATCACTGTTTGACTTGCTTTATACTTGATTAATCTTGATGCGGAAGTTTTATTGGTAAATTTTAAAATGGAATATACAATTCCATTAAGCTTTGTCCCAACTATAAGAGGTCCGTTACATGAATCCTTTTCTGCCAGTAATCTCTATTCAATGCCATATCTGTTGTTAAAATAAAATGAAATATCTATTATCATATTCACTTAAACAAAGCAAGTCCTTTGTTTCTTCTGGTACTTCCAGACCAATATTGCCATGTTCCTTTTAGTTATGTTGCATTACCAATATCAATTTACTTTTTATCTTACAGGACTCTAGGGGTGAAATGGATTTAATCTCAACTTCAAGCTTTATAAACACTGTAATCTTTGTTTTGAATTTTCTCTTTAGTTTATAAACTACTTAGTGTAGATCCCAGTCTATAATTTTCTTGGCTTGGCTGTGCTCCCTTCTGAAGGTAGGTAGATGAACTTTTGTCCAGATCCTGTGCACTTCATAAAATCTTGGCCTTATGAGGTCCTTAATGCACCAAATTCTAATAATTTTGTTGGAACATTGAATCTTCAATTTGTCCAAAGTTCTTATCTCAACCATTTTATTACGAGTCTTTCTGCATAGTGCTAACAAGTTTGACTTATCATGGAAAAATGGTATACATATATTATTGTTATTTAGCAATTTTTATCTAATAGCTTATATTAACTTCTATGAAATTATTTTTCACAGATTAGATACTATTCTTTTTGCTGTATACTCTGCTTTTCTGCTCTAGGAGTAAGATTTGTAAACCTTGATCCTGTGTTAAGTGAACTTGTTTAGGGGCTGTGTATCTTTGTTATGTTCTTTATTTATATTCCTTTTTATACTGTTGCCTACCTAAAGAAAAGGAAACTTAATGAAGTTATGAAGTTTGCTTGTGCTGAAATGGTGAAATTGGAAAAAAGAAAAAAGGGTAGAACCAGAGACCATTTGTCAGATAGTTATTATGTCATGATCCGTGGACAATAATTGTTGTTGATAATGAAGAGATCTAGATGGTCTTCTAATGCATATGCTATGATTTTTTCTGACAAGTAGCAGGGATCAGCTACAGTTTTTAGCTTACAACAAGCTAAAGTGGCAGTAACTATTATCAATGAGTGAAGCAGAAAGCTTGCAGGAAAGAAATCAACACCATCTCTATTTTAGTGAGCCGCATGAAGGGCGGAGTCTGATTTAAAATGTCTAAATTTATGTGGTCATGGTAGGTATGGCAGAATCTCATGAGAGTATATATATATATATATATATATATATTAAAACAAAGCAGTCAAGAAATTTTCTCATTTTTTTGATTTTTTGATTTTTTTATTCCATGTCATTTTTTTAAAGAACCAATGAGATGGTCTCATTCCTCATAAAAAATTATCTAAAATCTCTTTCTTACCCACACGTTCCTAACAACCTTCTCTCCTAAAATTTATCTTAAACTACCTCCCTCACTTTCTCCTAAATCATCTCCAATTCCTATTTATCTCCTAACTTATCTCTAATTTACAACAACATTTCTCTCCAAATTATCTCTAATAAACTTTAAAATAATTATTAAAAAGACAAAAAAATAATTATAATAGATTTAATAATATTCATATTATTAATAGTTTTATATTTCTACAAAATTCATCACGAAATTATGTACTAACAATATAAATTATGATTTTCTTGATTATTCAAATTAAATGTAATTCAAATAATAGAAATTTAACATTAAAAAATAAAATATTATTTCAATAACTAAATATCTTAAATAATAAAATACTAAAAATAGCTAATAATTATATAGAAAAATATTTAATTATTTAAATATTTCAATAACTAAATATCTTAAATTCAAATGAGTATTTTTAAATATTTTATATATTATTTAAATATTTAAATAACTAAATATTTTAAATAACCAAATATTTGACATAACTATATTTTAAATAGTTAAAATAACGAAATTATTAAAAAATAAAAAATCTTAAAATAAAAAAATCATAACATAATATTCAAATTAATAATAATACAAAATTAATAATGAAATTATGTAATAATAGTATAAACTTTAAAATATTTATTAAAAACACAAGAAGTAATTACAATAGATTTAAATTCATCACGAAATTATGTACTAACAATATAAACTATGTTTTTCCAGATTATTCAAATTAAATGTTATTCAAATAATAGCAATTTAACATTAAAAAGATAAGATACTATTTCAATATTTCAATAACTACATATCTTAAATAATAAAATACTAAAAATAGCGAAATAATTATATTATGCAATATTTAACATAACTATATTTTAAATAGTTAAAATAATGAAATTATGCAATAAAATAGAAATATCTTCAAATAAAAAAATATAACATAATATGCAAATTAATAATAATTTAATATTTTTACAAAATTCATAATGAAATTATGTAATAATGGTATAAATTATAATTTTATAGATTGTTGAATTCAATAAATAATTAAAATTATAGAATTTAAATAAGGATATTATTTAAATAACTAAATAATATTTTAAATAACCAATTTCACTTACATCACTTAATAATTCTTGAAAAATAACTTTCAAAAACATAATATTCATTAATAATGATTTTAAAATCTTAATCTATATTTATTATATATTTAATATACTAAAATTAATAATTATTGTATTTTTAGTAATTATTTATAGTTTTTTATTAATCTAATTTTTTTTAACTTTTTAAATTTAATTTAATATACGTATTGTATTTATTGTATTTTGTTGTTCTTTATTCATTGATATTTATTAGAGATTAAACTATTATTTGAGATTACATTATTTATTGACTAGCTTAATATATTTTTTAGTATTTTTGTAATTTTTGTAATTATTGTATGACCTGATTTAGTTCGGTTGTAGGCTATTTGACCAACCAAATTGACATGGTTAGGTTGGGGAGTTGGTTACCCAAAATCTACTAACCATTAGTGAAAATCAACTAAATCAAGTTGTATTGGTTTGGGTACTGTAAAAAGTTATTAAAAGTATAATTAATAATTATTTAAAAAGTTAGAAATATAAAACGATTGTATACTCTGGTGTGTTTTATTGCTTAGCTTTTCTCAATAAACAAATTATTGTTATTTTCTCTTTTTGAATTTTTTATTTTTTAATTCAATGTCATTTTTGAAACAACCAATGAGATGCGTTTTCCCAAAAACCTAAATAATCTCTTTTTATGAAATTTCTCCTAAACTACCTCCCCCACTATCCCCCACTTTTTCCAAAATTATCTTTAATTCCTTTTTATCTTCTAAATTATCTCTAATTCCTATTTATCTCCAAAATTCTCTAATTTACCAGAGTGTTTATCTCCTAAATTATCTCCAAGTCCTATTTATCCTCTCCCCTACTTTTTATCTATATCTATCTAAATAAAGTTTGGATTAAAAAATTTAAGAATAATTTAAATATTCTAACAAATTATAATAATTTTAAAATATATATTAAAAGCATAAAAAAATAATTTTATATTTTTACAAAATATATCATGAAGTTATGTACTAGCAATTTAAATTATGTATTTCCTGATTATCAATTTAAATGTTTTTCAAATATTTAATAATATTTAAAATAACAAAATTATGTAATAAATTTAAAAAATTTCTTCAAAGTAAAATAATTATAGCATAATATTGAAATCAATAATAGTTTAATATATTACAAAATTAATAATGAAATTATGTAGTAATAGTATAAATTATGATTTTATGGATAATTAAATTCAATAAATAATTAATATTTTAAAATTTAAATATTTTACATATTATTTTAGTATTTAAATAACTAAATATTTTAAATAACAAAATATTTAACATAACTAGATTTTAAATAGTTAAAATAAAAAAATTATGTAATAAAATTTAAAAAGGTTAGCGTTTTGTTGATCAAATCAACGTTTTTGGGCAAATTAATGGTTTTGGGGTAAAACGGAACCGGTCACATCTCGGTTTTTCCGACCTGACCGTCCAATTCGGTTTGGTTTTGAAAACCATGTTTATTGTATTTTTGTTATAACTTATTGATTAATATTTATTAGAGATTAAACTATTATTTGAGGTTATACTATTTATTGACTAAGTTAATATATTTTTAGTACTTATTGTATTTTTTGTAATTATTGTATTTTTCATTATCAATATATTTCCAATAATTGTGTATTTTTGTTATAAATTTTCAATAATTATTGGAGATTAAACTATTGTTCTTTGTCATATATGAGACTATTAATTTAGTTGAAATTATGAGTGCTCATGAGTTGGCTCGGTTCGGTTGTAGGTTATTTGGCCAACCGAATGACCTGGTCAGGTTGGGGAGTTAGTCAGCTGAAATCGACTGACCTTTTGTAAAAATCGATACACTCAAGTTGTATCGGTTTGGGTTAATTTTTTGGTTTGGTTAGTCGGTTCAAAAGATCTAAACTTAAAAGTTAAATTTAATTTTAAAAATTACAATACAATTATTAAAAAATAAATTTAAAAATTAGATTTATGATATAAAACATTTTAGACTAAGAAATATGAGAAAATTTTCATTTTTCCATATTAAGAATTATATTTAAAATATAAAATATTAATATATATCCATGGTTAGGTCATTTGATTTTGGTCGGTTTACAAATGGCCAAAGTGAAACTGATCCAACTTGGTCAAATTGGGAAATTTTTGAAACAAATCCAACCTAAAATACTAGAAAAGTGACCAACTCAGGTCGAGTTAATCGGGTTGGTCAATTTCATTAGTTTGAYGAATAAACCTAACTAAAATTAATTATTGTTATTTTTGTATTATAAAAAATTATTAAAAGTAGTATAGAAAATATGCATAATTATTAATTATTTAAAAAGTTGAAAATATAAAACAATCTTATACTCTTATGTGTTTCTATTAGGGTCATTTACTAGAACACACCTTATAGTTTTACATATTTACTTAAACCTACCTTATAGTTTTCATTTTAC